GGGGGCGGGAGGGCAGCTAGGCAGGAGACCAGGGAGGAAGCGGAATCCTTTCAGGGTCTGGACGTAAGAGTGTTCAGCCAGAAGGAAATGGTTAAATGAATGAATTCTGGTACCACCAGCCTTTGAGCTAACATGAGAAAATGCTTATGAGATAATCAGTGAAAAGCAGGATTAAAAACTGCGTATACAATCAACCTTTAAAAACACACCCAGTGCACAGAGAATGATAATAACATCTCACTGGGTGGTGGTCTTGGGTAGATTTTTAGTTTTATCTTTATCCAAAGAGCAAAAATGTAATGCTTCCATAATCAAAAAAAATCAGCAAAAGTGTACTTTTCAGCAGGGACCAAGATGCTAGTTATCCCGATTGAGGAGGGGCAGTAGTGTTTCCCCATAACCAGGTGGGCAGATGCCAGAGAGAAAGGGCAGCCAGGGCACGCAAGAGCCTTAGGCTTTCTTGGATGTTTGCAAACTCTTTTGCAAGGTGGATCTAAACCTGGGAAGGAAGATGCTTCCCGGTACCTGTTGCAGCTACTCTGATCACCTGCATCCCCACTGACATTGCAGGAAGGGGGACAGGGAGCGCATGAGGGAAATGAGGTGATCACCATGGAGATGGGAATAGCAGGCGTTCATTCAGCAGCTGCCAGCCACTCTGTTTGCCGGAGACTGAAACATTTGTGTGGGTGTTAACTTGTCTGAGGCAATCAGGCGACCAGACCAACAGCCCGACCATGTGTCTAAGTCAGGGTGTGGACACTTGGAGCAGGATAATTTCCCAGACCTTCTCTGGGGACATCCCACCCACACGTCTCGCCACCCACAATCAATGTTTCTTAAGGCCATGTGCTCACCCTAAGGACCAAGGTCATCTTATTTCTGACGAACCTCTTCCTGTTTGATTAACAATAACGAAGCACCGTGGAGGAGTGGAAACAGTGATGGCTTTGGAGCCATCTAGATGGACCTGCATTTGCATCTTGGTTTTGCCACTTACTAGCCTGTTCGACGTGGACACATGGGTCGCTCAGTGTCCTCAACTGTAAAGCAGGGAGAGTCATAAGGTCTTCCTTACAGAGTCACTGCACGATTGGAACTGGGAGATGGGGAGATAGTGCCTGGTACATACAAGGAATCGGCTACTGTCCTCCCCACTAAACTCATAGGAAGAAATCAGCACCTACTTGTGTCCTGGGATGGGGGTTTCATTGACTTAAGAAATCGTCACATCTTTATTGTTTCCAAGTTACAAGTTGTTTGTGTTTATAGTGAAAAAGAAGACTGGGTCATGACAAAAGCTAGGCGCTCCCTGGGATGGCTGTGAGTGTCCAGTGGGTCTAGGGTCTAAACCTACAGTGGTGCTGGTTCAGACACTCTTACGCCTTCAAACACCAGATTACATTTTAACACTCTGGAATTCACGTCAATGATTAGATGTAAATATCCTAGAGTGGGTATCCTTAGATGGCTTTTACTGCAGCCATTGACTTCCTGCCTGGGTTGGTTGGTGTTTGCTCAGGAAATCTGAACCACACATGATACCACACAGTTGTGTGTCCCACCCCCACCCCAGCCAAGAACTGCTGGCCGTGGGAGGGCCTGAGCCATGACTCCTTCTGTCAAGGTTACTAGTGCATGTACCTAGCGAAACAGCCTTACCAACTTGTACTGAAAAGCAGGGGAGAAAAACAGAAATGGTATTCCTGTTTAAAACGACTTTGGGGCAAAAATGTTATGCTGTAAGAAAGCTGAGAGGATACTGTGGGGACAGGTAGGTCGGTTGGTTGGTTTGTCCCTAGAGCAAGTGTTGGCACTACGGAGAGATTTAGTTTTGGGCCCACACAAGATTCTCCTTCCCTCCAAAAGGCATCCCCGGCTGTTGGAGAGCCCCAGGCAGCCCAGGTAAAAGGGATGCATCCTGTCACCAGGATAGAGAGGTTTGGGTGCCTGTGATCCTGCCCAGGTGTTTCCTGTCAATGGGGATGCACCAGAGAGGCCAAGTTCCCAGCTTTGTTTTTTTATTGTGTTTTCTGTTCTGTTTTTGTTTTGTTTTCTGTTTTTTCCTCCATCCTGTTTCCCAGGGAGCCCTGGAAGAGCAGGTGGCCCTGACTGGGGATGGTGCCTACAACGCACACTTTGGAGAGAGCATTGCCAGCCTGGGCGATCTTGACGACGACGGGTTCCCAGGTTGGTGAGCATGTGCCTGCCTCCCAACTTTGCCCCGAGCGATGCATTCCTGGATCTGCCTGCACCCAGGGAGAGAGGACACCTTTAGAGAAGATGTTCTCTGTGCAGACACTCTGGGCTGAGCTCCGAGCCAACGGGAGTTCTGCTTCTGAGCAGCCCCATCGCGTCAGCTCTGTGCACTTTGCTGTGTGATTGTGGGGCAAGTAAACCTTGGGGCTGGTGCACCAGGGCTTCTTGTGGCAGAGAAACCAGAGCCAGCTTCCTCCTGCTGCAGATACTTCTCGTTTCTGAGCCTCTGATGCTCCACAATGCTCTTCCGTGCTGTGAGTGAAATGAGCAAGGAGAGAATTTGACATTCTCTGTCCTGCTAGTGACAGCATGCTCAAGTGACTTGAATAAGTTCATTGTTGGGGGTGGGTGGGGATACCTAATGTCTAGTTCTGTTTAGACAGCAGTATCCTTCCCAGCCTTGGTTTCTCCCTCTGGTCTGTTCTGTACCTGTCCCCTCACTGCAGAGGCAGTGCTCAGATATCGGGACCTGTGGGAGCCATGTCACTGGGGGGATGGCCGAGGTAGAAGATGGGCTGGGGACAGCTCTTGCGTCAGGCCAGGCTGCTTTGATGCCCTCACCCCACTGACCAGAGAGGGCTTCATTCAGAGAGTGGGGATCTCCACTGGAGGTCGCGTGGGTGCACGCCCCTCACCCTTGACCCCACTTCTGCAGACACATGACTTTTGTTAGATGCAAAGGACAAAAAGTAAGGAAGATCTAGGCTTTGTTCCAGGAGTTGTCAGTCTGTGAGAATGATGTTGATTTGTGTGTGTGACGTGAATGCCATTTTATACATTTCCTTGTCCAGGAATAGAGCTGACTTTCTCTATGCCGTATCTATTGTCTATAGAGTTCCCCCCTCCAACAGACGGAAATTAGGCCAGGAGGTTTGTCTTTGTATTTCTTTCATTGGATGGCTCAGTGATTTTTTTCCCTAGAAGAATGAGCTAAGAACTTTCTGGAACAAAACTGTTCTCGCCTTCTATAATCTTATTTCTTCTTTTTAAAAGATATGTCTTTATTGATTTCAGAGAGAGGAAGAGAGAGATAGAAACATCAATGATGAGAGTCATTGATCGGCTGCCTCTCACATGGCCCCCACTGGGGATTGAGCCCGCAACCCAGGCGTGTGCCCTCACCGGGAGTCGAACCTCGATCTCCTGGATCCTTGGTTGACGTTCAACCACTGAGCCACACCGGCTGGGCTTCTTTCTACTTTTTTCTGCTGAGAGATTATGTGCCTGATTTGATGCTTGAACAACCAACAGCCAAGACATTTCTTGTAGGGAGGGACTCAGACATGACATCAGGAGTTAGGGAACCCGCTCTTATGTTATTCCACGTGGCTTTTCTAACCGCAGCTGTTTTTTCCCCCTCAGATGTGGCCATCGGCGCACCCAAGGAGGATGACTTCTCGGGGGCGGTCTATATCTACCACGGTGACGCCGGTGGGATAGTCCCTCAGTACTCAATGGTAATTGGTGTGAGAGTGACATGGTAACTGTTAGTTCATACATTCATTCGAATTTCCTCCGTGCCACACCCTGGGGTACAGAGGAGCAGATGACATCGTTCCTGCCTTTAGCCGTGCCACCCTCTAGTGAAAGACAGAAGCAATGGACATTGCTTATTAAGTATGAAAACATGTTCATAGACTCCCGAGTTTGCTCACATTCAGGGATACATTCTGCCTACAAAAGATAACATCCAAATTCATACCCAGAGGTAGAGCTATTTATTTAAGGAGAAGCTTTCTTTTTTGTTTTGCTTGTTTTATTATGCCTTTGTCAACCATCTGTGCTAAGCCAAAGGAGTCTCTTGTAAAATATAATCTAGAAAGACTGTGGTCCACGGAGGAGGGGCCCAAAAGCCAGCCCAGGGCTGCTGTCACACTTGGCACTGAAACGAGAAGCTGGTTAAGCTCTGGCCTCGTGCCCCAGACTTGGGAACATGGAAGTGGTGAGTTCAGTTTTTTGTCATATCAGCTTGGCGTTCAAACTTGCTGATGGTGTCAAGCCCAGCTCATGGGAAAAAAGGAAGTCATGCTCTCGGCAGAAGTGCCGTCAGGATATTTGTGGCTGTCCGTGTGTAGAGCAGCACAGGGCTGCGTCACTCTCCCGGCAAGCCAGTGACAAAAAGGGACGGAGCATAAATGGAGAAACGTCCCATCAGCAAATATTGATTTATTGAGCACTTATGTGCTTCCTACTTCCTGCTCGTGCTTATGTTTCTCATCAGGAAGAGGCTTGCCTCCTGTCTTGATTATTGCTAAGGAAACACAGGGTTGAACCAGGTCTTGCTCTTATAAAATGTTCTATAAATATTCCATAAAATGAAAATAGTAGTAAAGTACCAAAACCTGTTCATGTACTGAAGTTTCTAGGTAAGGAAAAAAAGAAACAGACCTTATAAGTTGACTTTTAGAGGCAGTACGTACACGTAAGTTCAGTGTATACATTCATAGTTATTCTTCTTGCTGCAGATATAAGCTGGCAATTAAGGGTTGAGGGTCATTGCCAGGTGGGCTTTCGGCTTCCTCTGTGCTGGGGCGTCCTGCTCCGTGAGTGACTCCAAGAGGCACATGCTTGAGTGGAAGGACTGCTTCCTGAGAGGCTGCTCTGCCCTCTTCTTACCTTGAGTCCATGTAAAAGCCGTGTGAAATGGGTACTTTTGTTACCCATCTTTTATTTATGAGGTGACTGTGGCCCAGGGAGGTTGTTTAATTTGCCCAGCCAACAAGTGGCACCAGCCAACACGTTGCAACATGGCCATTGAAACTGCCAGTTTGACTCCCAAACCTTTTATTGTAACCACCGTCTTCAACTGCACATTGAGGAAAGGACCCTTTGGGGAAGCTCAGTTGGGAAACTTAGGAAGGTGGAAACTTGCTTTGCTATAAGATGTACCTACTCCAAGGGGCATTTATCTACATGGATCACCCACTTTTTCCGGTTTTGTTTGTTAATTCTCACCTGAGGACATTTCTCCATTGATTTTTCGAGAGAGTGGAAAGGAGGGGAGGTTGGGAATGAGGGGAGAGTGAGAAACATCTATGGGAGAGAGACACATGGATCCGTTGCCCAGCTGGGGCCCGGGATCAAACCTGCAACCCAGGTACGTGCCTTTGACCAGGAATTGAACCCATGACCCTTTGGTGCTCTGGTTGACACTCTAACCACTGACCCACACCGACCAGGCTGGACCATCTCCTTTTCATTAGAAATGAATGATTAATGGTGGGAATAAACTCTTGGGGGATGCAGCTGATGTGGCAGAAGGAAGAGGGCTTCAGTCGCAGTTGGGGGTCACATCCGTGTCACCAGGGCTGCTCTTGTCTGAGTCAGGAACATGCCGTTCCCAGTGCGACAAGCTGACAGGTCCTCCACATTACTCTTGAACTCATTCCTCTTTCTTGAATTCACCGTGAAAAGTGTTGATTTAAGATCCTTGGGTGCCTTTCTCCATTTGAGAGCCCTCCAGGTATGACAGAGGGCCCTGTGATCTTTCTGCTGACGAACTGAATGCCATCTCCGGAGCTCCATACTCGGGCAGCCGTCCGGGGTCACTCTCCATGCATCCTCCTGGAAGCTGGTTCCCGGACCTCGGGAGCTCATCACACAGGGAGGCAGCCTTTGAGGGACCCCCGCCTCCCTTCCTCCTGCAGCCCTCCAGTGTTTTGTTTCGTTGCTGGGCGGAATCCTGCAGGCAGCTGAAGTATAAATTTTGTGGTTAGCGCGATGTCTTCAGTAGGAAGCAGGGATCAGCAGCTGGACCCGTCCGGCCTTTGTCAGCAGGCTGGCTCGTTAACGTCGACAAAGAGAAGTAGATTGGGGCTCTTAAAAAAAACCTATGATTATACTTTTCCAAGCTGCTAATACGTATGTGATAAGGTCAGTGATTTAAAAGGAAGAAAAAAACCTTTCATGATAGATTCTTCAGGGCCCAGGTCCGGACAGAGCAGGCATTGTGCAGGGGAACTCCGGGAGGAAATCAGAAACAACTCCGGGCAAGCCAATCGCTTTTCTTTGGCCTGGGTTGGTATTATTTCTACTGGATAAATTGTGAGATCAGAGTCAAGCTCTTCCACATTGCTCTTGAACTCATTCCTCTTTCTCCAGTGCACCATGAAAAGTGTTGATTTTAAGATCCTTGCGTGCCTCTCTCAGTGCGCGAGCCCTCTGGGCACATCGTGGCGGCCCCTGTGATCTCCCTCCCTCCAGGAGGACACTGCCTGTAAACCTGGTCAAGCGGAGGCTTTCCAAGCTCCTGGTTTTCATTTAGAGTTATTAGCACTGAGCAGACGTATCTTCCTGGCTTTATGGCATAATGGCCTGCAGATGTCTGTGGGATAACTTAGGCCTGCATTGCCACCCCCAAGTGGACCACCCCTCCACTCTTCCCCCTTGTCCCAGCCACAGCAGCCCTTAAACATGCAAACCCAGGGTGAGCTGCCGCTGGCGGTGTTGGACCTCAGAGCTGAGACGGTCTGCTTCAAGAAGCGGCTTTCATGAAATAACGCGGGCGTGCACACATACATGTTTGTTCAGACAGAGCCATGTGGGGTGTGGGCGCTCCCTGGGAGCAAGACACGTTTCTCCAGTGTTTCATACAGTGTTCTGACTTGTCCTTTGAAGGTTTCACATCTCTACGTTTCCTGTTGGATGGCCTCACTGGAGGTGGCACGTGGAGGGTTATGTGTAGTTATCGGCTGCTGGGGGTGGGGAATGTCTGTGCCGTGTCCGTCTGTAGAGCCTATGGAAACTCCCCTTCCCCAGCCTCGTGACTTTGCCGGGGGATGACACAGTACGGAAAAGGGTAAGGGAGAAAAGTCCAAAGGGAGCCCCTGGGTATCCGTACGCCTGGCTCTGACAAGGATTTTGCTGCATGGCGTGAAAACAAAGCATTTCTCTTATCTGCAAGGAGGGTGTCATGGGCACAGCCTCCACAAGGAGACTGTAGACAAAGGGGAGGAAGAGCAGGTCATATCCCAGAAGATAGGACTTTTCTGATTGAGAAAGCTAGGTATCTTTGTGAGGAACTGAGCCACACAAATGTCATGTATGATGAAGGCTGCTTGTAAGCAGATAGTCTTGAACCAGTGTGACATGTCATTAACATGTGTTGAACTTGAAGATGAACAAAGTACAGATGCTAGTGGGCCTCGTGTTGGTAGGGCCGTGAACTCTGGATGGTTGGGTGAGAGCTGCCCGTTAGGGAGGAGGCTCCAGCTCATAGGTTTTGGTTTCTAGAGTGTTATGGAAAGTTCAGGACCTTGGAGTTCTAGATGCAGGAGGTAAAGCTGTTTCACCCTCTCAGGGGAGCTTAGGAGCCTGTGATCTGGTTGGCTGGGTGGGGAGGCGGTTGCCCATGGCCACCTGGTCCATTTAGACATGCTCCCTGCCTGTCCGCCTGGGGAAAGACTCTAACGTGTGCCTCTTAGGGGAGCACTGTTACACATTTAGCACGTACCTGGGCAGAGTGATACAAGGGAAGTCTGTTCTTAGAATTTCAGCCCAGCTATACCTGTGCAAAAACAACACAGAGCCTTCGTTAGAAATGGAAGCTAAACTTTATCTCCCTTCACACTTCGTTGAACATGTCAGAACTTGAACACCCTGGTCGAGGTAGATTTTTTCATTAGCACTGAACTTAGAAAAAATTTTAAATCGTGGCATCTGGCTAAGGCAAGTAACAATAAAGGAGTGTGGTCTTTGGCTGCCTGCTAAAGACCCACCTGATTAAATTAAGACTCCCATTTTTTTTCTTTCAACAAAGTCAAGGCCAAGTGTCCTCCGTAAGCTGGGCTACAACCGTCAGTGGGGGCTTATTTGTGACTGCGCTCCTTTCTGGTGACTCAATTTCCCTATTGTTTCTTTCAGAAACTGCTGGGGCGGAAGATAAGCCCGGTTCTGCGGATGTTTGGACAGTCCATATCAGGAGGCGTTGATATGGATGGAAATGGCTATCCTGGTAAGCTAGTCGTCTTTAAAGGCAGCTGAGGTAAACAAAGAAAGATGCACGAGGCAGAGTAATCTCCAGTCTGGTTAAGCAGGGGTTACATCTACTTAGGATTAGGAAAACCCACACAGATAGAAATGGTGTTTGGCCTGGTGTTTGATTTTAGGGTGAAAATGTAGAAGTTTCTTTTTGGGTTTTTGAAACGATCGACTCCGAAGGCTCGATGCAGCAGGTGGGTGGATTTCACAGTGAATTCTGTGGCACGGAGTCTTTCTAATGAAGAAAGAAAGCACTGTCCACATTTCAAATGATAGTGAAACCTTATGCTTTCCTTGATATTATTGAATCCTAGTCAGTTCCTTAGTCCTGAGGAAAAAGAAGCCGAGTAGCATCCCTCCTCCTGCACGAAAATTATTGAAAGATTTTGAGCAAAAAGAAAACCGCTGACGGACAGAGTAGACCTTCACCGTTCAGGCTGGCTGGCTTGTCGAGGTTACTGCCTTGTGGTGGTTGAGGGCAATCAAATAAAAATGTACGATTTCATACCCTAGTCCCAAGGGATACCCGATTCAGGTGTTTGAAGGGGATGGAGTGGGAATAGGTAAGGAAACAAAGACAAGAATTTAAAAAATCCCAAATCATCATGGAATTCAGAAAAAAATTTCCCTGAAACTGTAGGTCATCCTGCTGTCTATCTAGAGAAGATATTTCTTTCCACTAGAGTGCTTAAGGAGGCTCTGGGAAAAGGAATGAAATTCTGCAGGAGGGCACCGAATTCTGTAGTTTCTTACACACGGGAGTTTCAAGCATCCCTCGTAGCTACAGAGCCGGGAGGAGTGGGGATAGGAAAGGGTGGGTGTGGGTGTTTTTGTCCCTCTAGACCCTCATGGGTCTTTTTCAGTTTGAGAAAGTAGCTCTCCTTGCCCCTGGCAATTTGTGGCTATCCCTAAATAATACCTTACACTGGTTTAGCACTTTAATATATGCAAAATGCTTCCACATGCAATGGGCATCTTATAATAACCCCAGTAGGTAGGTGGAGATGGGAGCGCCCCTCTCCCCACCTCACAGTCAAGGAGACTGAGCCTCAGAGAACTGCAGGGACTGGCCAGAGACCACACTGAGGTGGGCCAGGACCTCGGCTGCTTCTCTCTAAGCAGGTGTATTAATACTTCACGAGGAATCTGCATTTATCTTGCATTTTTCGTAAAAGAAATGGCCAGTTGATCAGGTTCTTTTATTTGCAAATGTTCAATCAATTCAAAGAGACTGTTGGAAAATAGTGAAACGAACAGGCATGCCCAAGTGCAAAAATCTCAGCAGCACTGCAGTTCACGGATTTGCTCTCTACTTTTCCCTAATGAGGGCTTCGGATAGGCTTCGGATAGACGTAGGGCCTGACTCTGGGATTCACATGCTGGGATCTGCGAAGCAGTAATGGGAGCCCTGGGGCTAAGGGCTTCCACTAGACAGAGAGCTATTGGGAGAGCTATTGGGAGAGTGATTATTTCCTAAATTAAAGTCGTTTAGAATAAACGTTGCCAGCTAACACTTGTGTTTTAGCTTGTAGTTTACCAAGTATTTTCTGAATTAAATATCTGATTTACTATATTACATTTAACACATTTAAATATTTCAGAAGTGTTATATCAAACACATTTAATATTATGTTTGACAAATATTGAATAAATATTTTTCAATTTAAATATTATGAAGTATTACCAGCTTTTGGAGAGGACACAGGATAATTGTCTCCATTGTTCAGATGATGCTGAGAGTGAGGGGGGCAGTGGAAATTTTTCTCATGCTCCATGGAACTTGGGGCTTTCTCTAAGAGTCATTTAATTCCAGGTGTCCCTCTCTCTCATTCATCAATGCCCAAAAGAAATATAATGTGAAACCCATATGTAATTTAGAACATTCTAGTAGCTACATAAAAAAGATAAGAAACAGATGAAATTAATTTTAATTATGTTTTATTTAGCCCAGTATATCCAGTGTATTATCATTTTAACATAAAGTCAATACAAAAATTAAAGAGATAGCTGTTCTTTTGTACTAGGTCTTTGAAATCAGTCTGTATTTTACACTCGTAACACATCTCATTTCAAGGGCTCAACAGCCACACCTGGCGATTAGTTGCCATATGGGACAGTGTGGCTCTGACTCTTACAACATCACTGTGTAGCCCAGAGGACGGCTGTCAGGGGCCCCTGACCTCCATAGCTTCGGAGCACCTTAGGGTATGGGGGGGGGCGGATGGACTTCAACAAGTTTCTGAATCTGTAAACTTCTGGTTTCAGATGTAACTATTGGAGCCTTCATGTCCGACAGTGTGGTTCTTCTGAGGTGAGTTGCTTCTCTCTTGCTTCTTGGATTACATTCCTCGTGGGTGAGGGGTGGGGTTTGATGGAGGGGCTGGGACACAAGGGAGTCACACACCATTAGTCAGCAATTCCCTCTGTCCTGTTCCTTGCAGGTGGCGGAGCTTAGTAAGTGGGAATGCTACCTTTCTTTTTAAAATACTTTAAAAAAAAATTGATTGGAGAGAGAGAGAGAGGGAGGGAGAGGCCACTTTGTTGCTCTACTTAGGCATTCATTGGTTGTTGCTTGTATGTGCCCTGACCGGAGATCAAACCTGCAGTCTTGGAGTAGCGGGATGACACTCTAACCAACAGAGCTTCCCGGCCAGGGCCGATGCTACCTTTCTTAGTCTTCTCTGTCCCAGGGATTCCAGCTGGTGGGCATCCAGTAGCCTACAGGTGTGAAATGATAGCATCCTTGGAGATTCTAGGCAGAGTCTGGGGCGTCCTGAGCCCTAGGGGTTTTTGCTTTTTGCCATGAACAGCCCCTTTCATTCATGGGTGTGCACACACTATCATTTCCTGTGGTGCCCTGACCCTCAGGAGGCCCTGGAAGCACTGGCCAGGCCCATTTCTTCATCCCACACCCTGGGGAGTGTTCTGCCCACGGGGCAGCACGTCGGTGTCTGGTGGCTGCAGAGCTGAGGGACTGTGCTCGGGCCCAGTGCTTGCTGGGGCCCAGGCAGCCCAGATCTCTCCTGCAGAGGCCAGTGGGCCGCCCTCCCACCCATGAGCCACCTCCAAGTATTTCTGTCTGTATGAGTCAGAGGAGGCAGCATTACACTTTGGAGTGGGAGCCAACTCTTAGGTTTTGTTAATAACCTGATGGCAGAACTTTCTAAAATAGACCAGTGGGATCTTAGAGCTGGAAGGGGTCCCAGAGGCCGTGCAGCTCCACACCCCAGGTCCTCTCATTTAGCAATGCCTTGAGCTTCTGAAGGAACCAGTTAACCCCCAGGTAACTCAAAACGTTCAGTTGCTGGGGAGGCAGAATCCCCGTGAGGCTGAGTGTGAACTCCAGGGCCAGGTGCTCTGGGTCCCCAGCCGGACTCTGCCCGTAGGAGGTGAGTCTGGCCATCTCTCTTTCAGGATTCTCATCTGTTAAAAAGGTAATAGGACCGACCTCATGGGGTTCCCATGAGAACTCCATGAATTAGTACATGTCAAATGCATAGAACAGGCCTAATGTAAGTGCTCAGTAAATGCAAGCAATTCTGACATAAATCAGGTTAATTTTGCCTCCCTCAAATCTGCTGCTTGGTCCCCTGACTTCTGCATAGTAGCCCCTCAATATTAGAAGGTGGTAATTGTGTCCTAGTCATGACCTAGCCGATAGGCAAGTTAGGTAGACTGGGAGTGACCTCAGGATTTGGGTGGGACTGAAGAAGGGAGAAGGGCCATGATTTTCAGAGAGTGGAAGGGAAGC